TTAATAATATATGTCAAAATTGTTACAAAAATTACAATAATTCAATGTTGGTTAATATTTATATTATACAATTGTGTGTCTATGGTTTAAAGTTAATAAATTCCTTAATAAATGTACAGCTTATTATAGAAACTACTCACTGTAATAATTAATATCTTTATTAGGTATCTTATCAATAAGAGGTAAGTAAAAAACAAAAATTCAATTTATAAATCAATGTTGAATTGCGATAATTAAAAAAAAAATTCTTGTATTATCTCATATATTATAACATGAAATAAATTACAATAATTACAATTTTGTTTTTATCTCTTCGAGTTTTAACTACCAAGATTCTACTTTATTAGTATGATTGGTGGTTACTGATTAACAATTATGCTTACTTTTGTGGTGCTATGGTGGGATAAAACAGTAAAAGGAATTCCATTACCTTTCAACAAAATAGTGATTATTCTAATAGTCTAGTTATCTAGTAAATACGTAAAACAAAACATATATAATGAAAAGTGCGAGTTATTATCTTATATCTAATAGGTATTGGACATGATTTGTTAACATGTATTCCTTAATATTTGGTAGAATTTTAATGTATCTCAATGTAATATACTGAAAATATATTAATATCTTTAAAATTACTAAAGGAAAAAAATACTCACTTAATATTTAAGTAGATACACTACATATGGTTCAAACTAGATGGACAACAATGGCTAGACTAAAATTTAATTTTGATGTGGTTTAATTTAAACAGCTTGAATAATTATTATAAATTTTTATTTTAACGCAATTAAAACTTTTGAAATAGAGTGTAAATAATAATAATCTATTACCCGTGAGTTGTATCGTCTTCCACAAAGTCGTGTGCATCCTCCCTGGTAACACATTCCACATGGCTTACTTTATTACGGAACTTAACACCATAAAACTTATGCGCATGTTGCAGCAACTCTGGCCTAAATGTTGTAGTAATGAACTGTGCTTCTGAAGACATTTCATGTATCATATCAGCAACAGATTTCCTGTGTTGGGGATCTAATGCTTGATCAATTTCATCAAACAAGTAGAATGGAGCAGGGTCACACTTTTGAATAGCAAATATTAAACCTAATGCAACAAGAGATTTTTGACCACCTGATAGTTGATTCATTTCCCGCATTTCACCTCCTTGTCCTACAAATGACACTTTGATCATGACACCAGAATAGTTACCAACACTGGTCTCGTCTCGCATATTAATTGTTGTTGATTCTTCACCCCCCACAGTTTTCATGACTAGTTTTGCATGACCAGCAGGTACAAGTTTGGAAAATACATAAGAAAAATATTTGGATACTTGTTTAAATGTTGATTGTATTGCATCACATTTCCGTTGTTCTAAGACATTCATAAGCTGTTCTATTTTTTCATAACCACGGTCAAGTTCTTGTTTTCTCGAAACAAGCTTTTCCTTTTGTTCTGAAAAATTTATAAACTGATCCAACGCTTTTTTATTGACATGACTAAAACGTTTTAAGTGACTATTAGCCTTTTCTAACTCTTTAAATAAATTTTTTGAAGAATAAGACATATATTTAGTAACCAAATCTGTGTTAGGTAAAGCTCCGAGATCATTGATTTTAGACTCTGACTCTTCTAATTTTTTACGTAACATTTCTTGCTTAGAAGATACTTTACAAAGATCTTTAGATTCATTTTCAAGTTTATCCTGAGCTTCTTTTTCTTGAATTTTCCATTTATCCAATTCTTCTTGGCATTTCTTTTGTCTCTTAACCGCTTCATGTACTTTGGTATCAATATTTTTCATATCTATATTAATTGTATCTAATTTTTTTTCTATAGCATTTAATTCTAACCTACTACTTTCTAATGTACGTTTACGTTCTTCAACAGATATTTCTTGTAATGCTTGTAATAATTCATCTCTACGACGAATCAAATTGTTAGTTAATAGATTTTCTAATTTGTTCTTGTCTGCTTCTAATTTCATACGCATTGAAAATGCAGTTTTATTCTCTTGTGTCAACTGTTTAATGTCATTATTAAGTTTATCCATTTCTTTTTGATCAGTGACAGATAATTGTGCCATAAGTTCTTGGTGTAATTCAGATTCAAGACCAGATCTTGTAGTTTGCATTGCTTCTAAATTTGAAGATGCAGTTACAAGTAATCTTTCTTTTGTCACCCTATATCTTTCAATTCCAACCATTTCTTCTTTGATAAGTCTGATATCTCCTTTTAACTTATCAAAATTTCCTTTAGCTTTACTATTTTTAGTTTCAGTTTTTTGCATATCTGCCATGACTAAATTAACATTTCCTTCAACATCATTTAACTGTGTTCTAAGTACAGTCAACTGTTCCTCAGATTCTTTTATTTGACTCATTAATTCATTACGTTGCTTTTGGATTTCTAATTTAGATCGGACATTTTTAAAATAACCTCCAGTAAGTGTACCACTTGATGATACTTGGTCTCCATCAATTGTAATACAATCTAACATACTTTGCTTAGATATACTTGTAGCTATTTCTAAATTTCGACATATCAAAGTCTTGCCAAAAATAAATCTCATAGCTTTATCTAAATGAGATTCATAATTCAATTTATTTACCATTGGAATGGCATCTTTGGATTGTGGATATTTTATTGTCCTGGCAGTTAATCTATTAAGCGGCATAAATGTTACTTCACCAGGTAAATTCTGATTATTTATTTCTTTTAAGATTTGTGTTCCAATCTTATCAGAATCAACAATATGAAAAAACATTCTTCCACCAGCAGTCACTTCAACAGCTGTCTGTATGCTTTCATCACAATCAAAATTTTCAATTACTTGGCCATAATATTGTTTAGCAAGATTGGCTTGAGATCCACCACGTTCTTTAAAAATTTCTAATACCTTACGCACACTATCTCTTCCATTTAAAATTGCTTTACCAGCCATACTACGAAGTAACTGATCAGCTTTAGCTAATTCTTCTTTTAATGTTGAATAAGTTTGTTGCAATGAACTCTCTTTACGCCATAATTCATTTCTTTGACTTTGATATTGGTCTTTATTTTTTTTTAATTCATAGTATCGTTTATTATATTCATCAATCGCAGTTCTTTGTTTTTCTAATTCAGTTGAGTTACTATGTACCAAATTCTCAAGTTCTAACAAACGTTCGGCATCTTTTTTTAAATCTTCTGTTAATTTTTCTTTATGATCAGTTTTATCTTTAATTTGTTTGGTTAAAGATTTCAATTCTTTTTGAATCCATTGGTCTCTATCTTCCTTGGATGCAAATTGACTTCCACGTCCTTGTTTAGCATATAATTCTTTACGTTTTTGTTCTTTAAGTCCTAGTTCTCTCGTACAGCTTTCTTCCTTTTTCTTTTGAGCTTCATATTTAGGTTTTATTTCTTGCAAGTCTGATTCTTTTGTTTTAATAGTTTCTTGTAACTTTTCTAATTCTCTGACAGCTCTTTCTCTAGAATTATTATCACCTTGTACTTCATCGGTAAGATCTTTAATTGTAAAATCTAATTTGGTTTTTTGTTTTATCAATTCCTGTTGTTCTAAATTTAAAGTATCTTTATCTTCTTTGACACTATGTACTAGGCGCTTGGCATCACGTAAGTGCTTAGTTGATTTTTTAGCTTCATGCGCTGCTTCTTTTACTTTTGCAGTAAGTCGTTTTTGTTCTTCATCAACATTACTCATTCGACTATCTAATTCTTCTAATTTTCTTTGAGTTTCTTTAAGTTCTCTATCATGAATACAATATTCCAAAGTTCTTCTTTTTTTATCCCATATTTGATACTCTTTTAATTCTTCTTTTTCTTCCTCCAATGTACTTAAACGATCTTCAATAGTTTTTATAAATTCTACTATTTTATCTAACTTTGTCTGAGTGTCTTTTAATATCTCAATTGATTCTTCTTTTCGTTCATCATAAACACGAGTACCAGCTACTTCTCTTAATAACTTTAGTCTATGTGAATCAGGGGATGTTGCCATTTGATTAATTTTACCTTGCTTAACTATATAATATGGATTTGAATGAGAAAATCCAGCAGATTCCAATAAATTAGTAACATCACTTCTTGGTACCATTTTCTTATTTAAGAAATATTGGTCTTTTTTAACACCAATAACCCTCCTTAGAACTACCTCTTCTTTGTCAATTGGTAGTCGATTATCCGTATTGTCAAAAATGATCTCCACATAAGCAGAGTTGACTTTAGGTCCAGTACCTTCATGTAACAATGCTTGACGTTGTTCAGGTCGAAGATGAGAAAACTCATCACTGAGCACAAACTGAATAGCATAAAAAAAATTACTTTTTCCAGAGCCATTTCGGCCAACAACAACATTGTGTCTCTTGTCGAATGGCTCAACAACAGTTTGTTCACGGTAACTCTTAAAACCGTGAATAATTACTTGTTTAATAAACATGGTGTTTATTAATAGGTTACAATAGATGTTAGTACTTTTTGGCAAAACCGTGTACGAAGATTGTGTTTTTGAGTTTTCATAGTGCCCGTCATTAGTGTCTTATATTCATTTTCATTGTCTAAAAATTATAATTAACCAATTATTATAATACATTTTTAAGTATTTATCACACTAATTACCTGTATCTAACATAATTAGAGATCTTAAACTAAGTTTAAACTTATTAAAAATACGTGTCACCTATAAATATTTCAGAATTAAACATAAAAAATATAAAATACGTCTTTTAAAAAGTCGGTAAACTAGCCAAGCTGTATTAAAGAAGACAAGAAGTAGTGTTTTGTTTACTATTTTTCAATGATAAGCAGTGCTACCTTAATGAAAAATCGAAGTCTACCAACATTATCGTTAAGAACATTAATAAAATAATCATCTGTATGTTATCATTTTAATTGTGAATAATAATATACAATCAGAATCTTAAATCAAAAATTTGAAATATAATGTCCTTGGAGTTTTATATTTATCTATTAACTATCATTTTATTGTGTTATCAACTTTCAAAAGAGTATGTTTAATGTTTATTACTTATTCTCGATTGGCCGAATAAATTTGCAATCGCTAAAAGCTGACTGCCATTTGATATTACTTATTTAATATTTGTCAATTTGTCATTAACATAGTTAAGATAGATGAAAGAGTGCTAATCTCTAGAATAATCAATTTGAAAAGGTTTTCGATCACTAAACATGTTAAATTTGAAACGGTTTTCAAAAGTAAGTATTCTAAAAATTAAATCAGGTATTATAGATGCACAAAAAGTGTGTAAACTTTAATTATATTTTTTTTCTTTTCAGATCTCATCTGGTGTTAAACTTCAATTTGGGCAACCTACTTTAGCTAATAAAAAAACATTGGGCTATAGATTTGTTCATGCAGATTCTTCGAGTTCTAGGTATTATAACATCACATAATAGACACCTTATTTAATTTCATATTTTATAGATTATCATTTTTGTTGGCAGAAAATCAAATGTAGGAAAATATGCACTGGGAACGGTAATATTTGGATTTAGTTCCATTGTAGTTTATGCAAAATATGATTCAAAATTTAGACAGTGGTTAAAATCTAATGTTTATGGTTCAGAGGAAATTTTAAAACTATTATTATTTGAAGATAAAATCATACATGATATACCAAATAATGTAAAACCCAAGTGAGTATTTTAATAATTAAATTAGTGTATAGAACTAAAAACAATTCATAATTATTTGTAGGGGTAATTTGTGATTAAAAATAAAAATAAATATATATTTTTGAAAAATCTAGCTTATGAGAACACAGATATTTTTTAAATATGCTACTTTTATGTTAGAAATTAATTTTAGTTCAAGTTGAATCAACTTCATTAGTAGATAATTTACTTAACAATTAATGTTAAATTTTCTTATAGAATTTTGACTAAATTAAAAATGTGTGTATAATATTCTGTATTAATTTGAATGGTTATTAGTTTTAGACTAGATCTTCCAACTATTAAACAAGATATAAATGTTACAAAACCAACATCTTTAAAACTTGAATCAAAAGAATCACAAACAATTTCCACAAAAACGGACAAACCATCAGGTAACTAATAATTTAAATTGTTAAAAAGTTAATGAAATGTATGATATTTATGGTATTAATTATTTATTATAGTATTAACTTTTAACTAATCAATTTATATTTACATAAAAATTTTTTAATTAGAAAAGAAATTAACTGAAAAAATAACCATTTCAGGAATTAATACTGAAAAAGATAAATCCAACATTACAAAAATAAGAAGTGAGGCAACTCTATTAGTTAATGAAGTTTCAAATTCCTATTCTGAAGCATTAGATGCATTTAAAAGTGAGTTATATTGCATTTTTAATTATTTAAGAAAATTTCAGGCTATTTGTACAATATGAAAAATACTTTTTTATTTTTAGACTTGATCTTTTGTTGACTTTTTCTTTGTAAAGCTGTTTTAAATAATTACTTAAAAACTTTTAAAAATACTAAACAATGTGACATTTCATTAATAATTTATGCAAATATTATACAGTAGACGCCGCTTATCAGACTCAAAATCGTCTAGTACGGTCTGGACGTAACCAAATATATTAAAAAATCGGTTATAAGACTTAAATTTTGTAAGATAAATAGTAAAGTTTCTGTTGGTACCTTATAATGTATAATAATTTTTATCACAGATAAAAGTTCACGTTTATCGCTACGATTATTGTTATTATATTAAGGTACATATCTGATTATCTGACGGCTGCGTAGTTATTGCAGTTATACGGATATGAACAGTATATTTTCGGAATATTGGAATAAAATAAAAAACTAACTAAAATTAAAAATAATTTTTCAAAATAAATAATAATAATTTTTTTATTAATGTATAATTTTTATAATATTTTTTTATGTAATATTTACTTATTATAATTTTAGTTTTTTTTATTGGGATTATTAAATTTATTCAATAATAAATATACAATATGTAATATGTGTTAAAGTATTAAAATTAAAGCAAAATATGTAGTAAAATAAAATTTATAAATATGTAATTAATTTTTTTTCCCACTTCGTCTTAAAGATTCATTCGGTTATAAGACTCACTTTGGGACCAGCACAAAGTGAGTCTTATAAGTGGCATCTACTATATTTGTATGAAATATTATTTTTAGATTATTATGAACTAGTAAATGGAATTGTTAATAATGTTTCTAACAAACACAATACTATCATTTTGAAAAAATTACAAAATGTCAGTTTGGAAAAGGATGAACTTTGTCAAACTGCTAAAGTAAATGCTCAAGAAGCTAGGTAATTATTTAATAATTCTTGTGTTATATTTTTTAATATTTAATTGGTTTTGTAATTAATTAGGAAGCGTTTAGATCAAATACAATATTCATTGGATGATTCTAAAAATAATTTTACGAATGAAGAAAAAGAAACTATTAAAAACAATATTTTGAAATTAAAATTGGATATTAAGACTTTGGAAAAGAATTTTGAAACTGACAAAGATAACTTATTACTTTTTAATAAATATAATGGACAAGTTATGAATATTAGAAAACAATTCTCAGTAAGTTAGTCTATTTTCTAAATATTGTTTATTAATTATTATAATGTTTGACTTCCTTACTCTAACTGATGTACTGATCTTAATGATTGTATCGTTAATTTTTTAGGAACAATTACAATCATTATTTCCTCATGTTAGACTTGACGATAAAAATTTGAAGTTGACAGATGCTGAATTTAAAGTGTTTGTTGATTATATAACTAAAAAATTAATGTTTTATCAAAATGAATTGTTCAAACAAGAGGTAATTGTTTAAATTATTTTATTTTATATACATTGAATGATTATGGATTTATTTGCTAGACACCATGTTATTTATTTAGAGATTTTATACAAATTAATAATTATGCCTTGAAAAATTATATTAGAGAATAGGTAAATATGTCAGTAACACTTTGAAGCAAAATAATGGAAATAATTACAATACTATGTTTCGATATTTCAATTAATCATATCTCATAAGGTTATTTATTTATTTCTTTAGATAATTGGTGAAGAACAAGTGAATGATGTTGTTCGTGCATTAAAAAATGGTAATTCTGAAGCCATCGATAAAGTCTTAGGATTTCAAGTAGAAAAAAATCGTAGAAGGCACATGAATAATTTTATCAATGAAGTAAGGAATTGTTTACTATTTTGATAGAATTAAAATTTTTTTTTTCTTTAGAGCTATGGATCAAAGGCAAATAATGAAGCCAAGTTCAAGGAACAATTGAGATTTCAAACTGAAGTGCATATGGATCACTTAAAAGAAGCTGCCAATTTAGCTGAAAAAGAAGTTGAACGTCGTGTACGTTTAGAATACTCTGAAAAAGCTGAAATTGAGAAGCTTAAATATAAAGAACAAGTTTTAAGCATGATTGCTGTTATGAATGGCATAAATGATGCAGTAAAAGGTACTAAGTTCATAGTTGTATCTGTTAAACTTCATTAATACAATAATGCTTTTTAGGTAATGCTGCTTAATTGTGCTATATAAATATAGTTTTTGTATTTTTAAATACTGTAACATTTTATATAATAGACACAAATATGCAAATTGGTATTTTTTTTTTAAAATATTTAAATAATAAATTTATTAATTTAAACTGTTTTCTGTTTATTTTTATTGATGAATAAACATGATTAAGAAATATAAAAATTAATTTAATAAATATCACCTACATAAATAATATGAAATAATTTACTCACTATTTTATCAATAACAAAAATATAAATATATATTGATTTTAATCGATTATTTTTATAACATAGTTATTAGTAGGTACAATTTATAAAATTGTATATTATTTTAACTAAACCTGAATTATCTATAAGCATAACATTTCCAATAATTTTTATCTATCAAGTAATTAAATTAAATTTACATCTCTTAAATCATGTTTTAAAAACATTTTTTTGCAATCTTAATTTTTTTTAATGAAATTCTTATTTTTGTAAGGGATTAGTTTTAAAGAAACTTATGTGGTCATTAAAATTTACTTCATTGTTTCAGAACATTCAAAAAACCGAGAAAAACTAAATGAATCATTTTATTTATGGAAAGCCTGTCAGTCATTATTTGTAGCGATTGATACTGATCAAAATGATTCAAAACATGAATTAATACCTTTAAAAGATTTAGTAAATAATATAAAAAAATCAGGAGGTGGTAAGTATGAATATTTTGAAAAAAAATAAACAACCAAGTTGAAATTGTACTATTTTAATTTAGAAAACCATAAAATAATAAAAGAATTGTTGGATACAATACCTGAAAGAGTGTTAACTCGAGGTGTTTATACAGAAGAAACATTAAAAGACAGATTTCTTAATGTTGAAGATAAAGCTTTTCATATGGCTTTAGTACCAGATACCAATGTGAAACTATTTGATTTGGTAACATCATTTATATTTACAATTTTCACCTTTAAATCGCCTGTACCAATTTCTGAAGAAGAATTAAACAATGCTCCTATAAATGTTAATGAATTAAATAATATCGATATTCTCCAACGAGCCAGGTAATTTTACGCATTATTTAACTATAATTTATTGTGTAAAACACATATTTTTTTTAGGTATTGTATAGAACGAGACAATTATTATCAGGCTTTGCAGTATATGCATTTATTAAAGGGAGGTGCTAAAAAAATAGCTGATGATTGGATGAACGAAACTCGTGACTATTTAGCAACACAGCAAGCTGCTCAAACTCTTTTAGCTTATGCATCAGAGAGTTTACGATCTCATGTAGACATTAATGATCATCAACATAATGTGACATTTTCTAATTGAATACATTTTTGTTTTTGTTCATAGGATTATTGTTAGTTTGCAATTTATTTGTGAGCAGAATCTAATGCAAAATGTTTATTAATTAAATTAACAAATTATACAGCTATAGTACAGCTAATTTTGTATTATTAATTCCATTATATTGTTATTAAATATAGGTTGAATCTAGTTTTTTGTTTTGTAGTCAATTTATGAACATGATTTGTTTTTTATGCCTTATACAAAATGTATTCATAATGTACACAACGATTTCGCCAATAAACACACAGAAGCCCAAAAACAAACCAAAAAATAAAACCACAAATGCTCCGAAAGATTGTGACATAGAAAGAGTCGTATCCTCGGTAAACGCAATATTATGTACCAGTTCTTCTTTGAGGGTTTCCCTATCCCATTGCTGCATAATACCTGTTTCTGAGAGTCGTGACATAATGGTACTAATTCTATGCCGAAACGGCGATCCCTTTCGAAGCATAAATGTCGACGAGTATGATTCAATCGTACATGTGGGCAAAACGTGTAGGTGTCTCGAGTCGTTAAAAATAGTCTTATACCTTTGCGCATAAAATATCAGTTCGCGTTTGGATGCCAAGACGGCTGTGTCTTTTTTTAATAATATCCTTTGGATGAAGTGACCGAAGTCTTCAGGAGGTAATATCTGATAGCGGTCAACCAACTCTTTGAAATCGTTGCTAGAGCCTGCTGATGAGTTGATCAAATAGTACATGTCTTTTCTGCCTACTAAGTTCAAATCGGTCTTCAGCAACGTGTGCTGGTCGTTAATTTCGGGCGTCATTTGTGGTATGGTTATCAAACTACCCAAATACGCCTGATACGCGCTCGTCACTACCAGGCTGTACAGTAACCAGTTAGACAGAAACACTTGCAATGCGCACGATTTGGGCGTGACTTTGATGGGAGCGCCGATGAACGTACCATACGTGTAAAACAGAATGAATAACGGACTCCACTGGACCGTCGTCACTGGCCGTTGAAGTGTGGACATGAGCTGCGAAAGTGCAACGACAACGCCAAACGCCAATATTATGCTCAGTATGATCAATATCCAGATGACTAGAGAAAATTCCGCCACGTAGTTGATCCACAACGTCGGGTCGTGACCAATGCCGCTGGGCAAGCCCCACGTGAAACAGTCCATCTGATCTTCCTTGATAAACTCCACGTCGGATTCGCTGTCGAAAATTCTCGTGAACCGACCGAATGCCAAGTCCACCTTTCCATGTTTCACCTTCACACCGATTGGTGAACTATCGTTGTCCGATAAGGCTGTTTCGGAGACGAAATGTACCTCTGAATGGCCTACGGCCATAGTCACGATACCAGTGAAGTTCATGTACTCCTGCATGAAATTGATGATGCGCAAACCTGACCCCGACAGTTGAAAGCCTTTCTCTGTTTGCACTATCGTTGATACGGGTGGCCTGTGTATGCCCAAGCATTTCAACGGACATCTGAATAATATATAATAGACAAATATTTATAATGTATCCATATTATGTTGGTAGGCAGGTTTCACTATGTGTAGAAGGTTATTTAATATTGATTTTTCTAATCCTAAATAAAGTGTGGAATGTATAAAAAGGTGTATTTATTAGTTAATGTAAAAAATACTCGAAACTAATTGGTATACAATGTAAGTAGGTATATATCTATATTTCGAGATTCTGAGTGAATTGATTTTATTATTATGTTTTTTCTGTCTACCATTACTTTTTAAGATACCTAGTAAAAATGCTTTGATTTTAAACTTTGATTGGTTTCTGGTAGCAAATTATATCTAATTGGTATCTTAGAAGGAAGAGGAGTTATAAATTAATCGAGTTCAATACTTTACAAATAATCGAGAAAAAAAAATTAAGGAAAAATGGGAAATCTAAAGAAATATACAAGCACAAATATTTTTCATAGATATTTGACGATTACGTACCTACTTTAACGATGGATTAGGATGTTAATAAAATTATTTTATCAACTACAATCTTGAAAAAAATTTTATTTATTTTTAAATTGTTTTAAATAAATATTTTTTAAAATTTATAATTATTAAATCATCATTACTGTAAATTTGTAATGTATATAAGTAAATATGGTGCTAAAGGGATATCAATTTTTTTATACAAAGGACAAAAAAACAAATAAGTTCCATGCCAATGTGTATCTATTAGAACTAAAAACCCATATTGAATAGTTAAACTTCTAGTCTTGGTCGTCGAAATATTGTAGGTACGCTATTTAGAGAGGTTAGAAAGGTAAATAAAAAATTATAATATTAAAAAAAAATGATACATATTTTGTATTATTTATACGTGTGAATATACTTAGGTATACATGTATAGTAGACTCTCGATAATCCAACAGATATCTAGTTACCGTAACTAGGTTCTTATAAAAAGCATTTTTACTTGTTGAAAAACCTTAATTTGTTTTATTAAAACATATAAATGATACACACGTCACACATACTAATTTATTACTGTATTAAATGAATTTCTTGATGGAAAAAGTCTAAAATAATAATTTTTTGTTTAAAACGATGCTTTTAAGACTTTTAACTGTAATCGTTTAAGCAAAAATATTAAAAATAAAAATAAATTATAGCTGAATTACTAGATGTGCCGGACTACTACATAGCCGGATTAACGAGAGTATACTGAATAATTATTTAAAAGAAAATAAGTAACTGAAAGAGGTGCCCATTTTCAACAACGAATAAGATAAATCATAACGATTAATAGTAATAATAGTATAATAATGTGTGAACATATAAAATTAACGTTAAAACAAAGTATATTTAGAATTTAGATAGGTAATAATTATGGTAAACATTATTAAAATCTAGTCATAAACGTGCTCGTTATTTATAATGTCTTATATTTAAAGATTTTTCTATAGATAAGAAGTAAAAATGATCCCGTCTCTAAAAACATATCACTTATACTTTGAAGATGCTGTTATTTAGAGGTGCCCGTTCAAGGATATAATAAATTAATAAATAAAAGATAGATAATAAAATAATAATAAACGGTGAAACTCGAAAGCGCAAATCGACCTTTTTTTTCGATAACCCAAAAGCGCAAAATTAATTTGCACTTTTGTACCTTGATAGTGGGATAAAAGCGCAAAAATAAATTGTATTACTAGATACAATATTTTACTGACCTAACGTGTGACGCTCGACGCTTTCCATGTATTTACGCGTGGCCTTTCCACGACAGATTGAAGCAACGCGCCAACACATCGCTACGGTCATTACATTTTTCTGTATCTTATCGTAACACATTACGATGACAAAAACTTGGACCTCGTATACAGAAAAAAAAATTTTTAGATTGGAATACTTGAAGATAGTGGGTTTCAAATTTCAAATTTAATTTTAAGGTACTTACTCATTATTATACCTATTAGTTTAATAAATGTATTTATTTATGATAGGTACTTGTTTATAGATTTTTTGATTTTTACTGATTTTTTGATACATGTTTAACCAATTTAAAATTATACTTAAAATTATATTTTTTATTTTTTACTGATTTTAATATTACAGTTAATGCTTATTTAAATATTAATTATAACTACGATTTTAATTAAATACACTTTTTTTATAAAATTGATTTGCACTTATGGGTTATTAAAAAGGTATTTTTTTTTGCTCTATGGGATTTTTATTTTTGCGCTTTTAGGTCGCGTTTGGGTCATATTTTACGCTAATGGGCTACAGCCATAATAAATATCAAAACCTAACACATTATTATATAATATATACAGTGACGGCACTATGTATTTTGAGGCCCTAGACAATTATTTTTGGTGGTGCCGTTGATGATTATGGAAGTAGACGGTAAATACTTACACTTGATCTTTTGTTTTATATAATAGGTGATAGTTTTTAGACACATTTTAGATACCAATTATCAGTTAACAATAGAGATTTATTTTATTATTTCTAATTGACAATTTATTAGATATAAATATTATATTATCAAAATTAAAACATTTTTATGACAGTTTACGTCGCCAGAACTTGCTAAAGCAGTTAATTGTTCGACTCGTGAAGTATATGGGAACTATAGATATATCTACCGACGAAGTTTATATTAGACGCACTACGACGTCAAGGCACCAACTTTGTCATCGTAGACGTGATGTCAAGCGGACATGGCCATCGTTGCGGCGCAAACAAGTTCAATTTTGAACAATAAACATATTTTTGTTCAAAATTTTATTGATTCCACTAATTTAGTTTATAAAATATATTTAAATATTAGATGCACAGTTAAGTATATTTTAAAATAATTAGTTATTGAATACAATTAGTTTTAAAAAATGATGAAGCTTTATCAAAATAAATCATATATAACAAAAAATTACATTTATTTAACTTTTTAAAATTATAAAATAAAAACAAAATAGTTAGCTACATAAAAAAAATAAATATTTATTTATATATTTATGAGTTAATGTGTGTAGTGAGTAAATTAAATTATACTAAAATAAATATAATTAAAGGGTGTTCGTACTTTATCAGTTGTTATTGTTGATTGAAGTGTAATGTATTTATATTAGTAGGTATAATAATTTATATTTTATAGCCTATAATTGGTATTTCAAGTAGGTACAAATATTAGTTTTATTTTTCCTGTATGATTACAAACTATGCACATTGGCTATATTACTTATTTACAAAAAATTCTTCTTAAGTTACTAGCCATAAATTAATTTTTTTTTCTCTGCGTGCCATAAAATAGTGAAAAACAAATAATTAAACATGGGGCCCCGGGCATTTGCACAGAATCCCCCCCCCCCTAGTGCCATCACTGTATATATACTATACTGCAGTTGTGTACAAGATGTTGATGTATCAATCTATAACTACCATTATTTCAAAAATTAACTTCAAAATTCTTACTAAAAAAGGTTAGGTATAGTTGTGCATAAAACATAGGTATCTGTATAATTACTTTTTAAAGCATTTAAAAAAATATTAATATTGATTAATAAAATAAACTGCATAGTGAACTATAGGATTTAAAATATATACATTAATATAAAAGTAGGTTTTAGATCAAAGTAAATCGTTAAAAATCATTAATAATTGCCTAAAAGAGCAGTTATTTAATTTAAAAGCTCATAGAAGATAAAGAACATAAAAGAAAAAGTGCGCAATAAATAATGAAATTTTATAGGTATTAAGATTTACTTAACCTAACCCATATACATCGATTTATTTTGTACAATATAATACTTAGATAGGTACTACCGACAATTTTCTCTTCTCAAAAAGTCATAAGCAAATCTATAGGTAATAAAATTACGGCTACTTTAATAAAACTAGATAGTAGATATTGGTATACTTCCGTCTACCGGTACTCTGTTAGTTAATATATTAAATATAACTAACGGGGAGTAAGTTAAAATTTTTATCAGCCATGTACAGCCATTCTTATTGTATTTTATTGTTTCGAACTTCAATTTGACGCAGCCCAAAGGATGGAGTTTGAACAATTTCAATACAGTATGATGAATATGTATAAGTACCTATTATACTTGTTTAAAATAAACGAAATCCGAATGATGTCAATTTAATATTGACTATCGGCAATAGTTATAATATGGTGGGATAAAAATCTAGAAATATTATGGGTATAGTTTTCGTAAAATTTATGAAAAAAGGACAAGTTTTTTTCTCGCCTCTCAAATTGTGTGTAAGTCGTTTTCGACGTCATAGTCCTATATAGAACATTATCTCCCCCTCTCATCATATAAGTCGAATCCGTATTCGTTTCCCCCGATATCAATTCTCGAGTTATCGACACTCGACTGCAATAATGAATGGGTGACACTACACAAAACATATTAGTGTCGTTATACTTGTGCAAGTCTTTCAGCTTGTTGTCCATGCCGAATACTCTGTCGGGCTTGACGAAAGCGTTCGTCGAGCTGCTCCAGACGTTGACCATGATCGGCGGACCGGCTCCGTTACACCGGGACCCGGTGTACGGGTTGAACGCGTACACGCGCACGCTGCCGGTGGACACTGGCACCAGGACGGCCACGTCGACGAGTTGATAGTGCCAGAACGCCTCGAACAGCATCTGTATGCGGTGCAGGTCGACGCGGTCGCCCGGCCGCTGCATCTCGTCCCACAGCACCATGTGCCGCGAGTGGTCGCTGGACGGCAGCCGGCTCAGCACCGCGTCGTAGACGGTCGACCGGCCGTCCCGGTCCACCGCTTGGCCGCGTTGCAGGTACACGACGAGCCCGTTGGCCAGCCGCGCGTCAGTGGCCGCCGACGAGTGCACCAGCAGCCTTGGGTGGCCCATGTCGACCAGCAGCCGCTGGCCCAACTCGCTGCGGTTCACCTCGTCAGCGAACATCACTACCGACCTAGTGCCCAGGTACTCGTCGATCATCTTGTTGACGGCCGTGGCCAGACGGGCGATTCGGGCCCGGTGAGCCTGGGCGTCGAGCGCCAGGTCCCGCAGCCCGCGTCGCATCTTCAGGCCGCCAGCGGCTGCGTGCAGTAATGCGACCACAGCTATTGCCGTAGCGGCGCTACGCTTCGCTGTTATGCTGTTGTTTTTGACGCGCATGCCGATTGGTGTATTACACGTAACTCCAATTAACGGTGTTAACGGTCATCACTGAAAAACGTTCATCGAATTTTATGTCGTAACTCGTAATTATAATCACGTTACACTGCACCTAACGAATATCTCTAATGACCTAAGAGAGTTGATTTTAACATGATCGTATATTCTAAGTGCATGCAGCGGGTTACAGGTAAAAACCTTGATACAAGAGACTAATAATTATGAATGTATGGCGTAAATTGCAGTTATAACTTATATGAGTTATGTGTATTGCGTTACGATTAAGCGGACTACGAATTGAATACACACTAGAATGACCTTGGGCATGTACTACTATGCGCTCAAAAATAAAGACATACGCACTTTAACATTTCGAAATTAATTAAAAATTTCAACGGTTATGGTTTGAACCCTTAATCTCTCCCCCTTTCTAGATATGATTTTGGCTTAAAGAGCTTCAATAAACAATAGATATGTGCTTGTATATATAAATATATAATAGATGAACTATTTTTCGTAGTTTATGACAAATACATTTTTTATATTAAAATATCATATTTTAACGTAGCAGTATAAGTGCCTATACCCATTTTTTAATATAAAATGCCAAATCTATAAATCTTTCCCTCCGAAATATGGTATTAATAAACCTACTTAAAAAAAAAATAAAAAATAATTGAATTAAATCTATACGAGTACTTAGCATTATCTTCTAAAACTCCTTTTATGTGAACTAATATAGGTACCTATTCAAAAATGTTTTATACTTCGATTATTAAATTTATACATTACTTATTTATTATTTTGAATTTAGATATGGTAATTTGTTTGACTCATAATCCTGCAGCTTTAAATTCTAACAAAATACAAAATATAATATATGATATACAGTATTGCAGCGTACCTATACATTACGTTATTAACTTAATATCCTCTTGAACGAATTTCGGGTACGGTTTTGTACGTAGATACTAAATGCGCGTAATATGTGTCGATATTATTTATACTCGTTGGCATCGTACATGATAATTTACTTAATTTACGTAATGGAAAGACTGCACGTCATATACATTATAAATTATACATTTTTAAATTATTGCTTCAGTCACGGTAAATATTATTTATAAAGGTAGATACATAATTGTATTTGACTTGAAGACAATAATTATAATATATGTTAGAAATGAACGCTACTGTATGTTTGTTTGTGTGTGTAAATATTAGTATGTATGATTTTTATATAGATATAATAATACACTACCTATAAAAATATGCCACATAGGTACAAAGCCGGAATTATACATTTTGCGATGTGTTCACAAGTACAATAACTGTTAAAACTTGTGGGTTCAAAGTAGACACACATAGTGCGCTTTATGATTATGTATACAAAATCATGAACCACTATAATAGGTTCTTATATATATTACAAAATGTCACGTTTATACAGTTTTATTTGTATTAAAAAAGTGTAAACATTTAAAATAAAAATATTACCAATATACACTTTTGTATTTTATAAAATCACATATTTTATTTATAATAAACCTTAATAAAATACAAATTTACTTAACAATATAGTTAACCAGTAAGCGTTTTAGCGTGTTAGCACTTATGTCTTATCTCGTATAATAATTAATATGGTATATATTTGTATACAAAATAAACACACTTTTATAAAATATTATAATGATAGAATCTCGAGGTATAAAAACGTTTTAATTTTATTTTTCAAATATCGTTTTTAAGATATATCATTATTGTTGTTTGCAGTACCTTTATAATTAACATGGTCAAAACCATTATGTGAGAAACTTGAGATATTTTTGTTTTGGTAAGTATACGCAGTGGCGTATTTTGAATCTTTTTTTTTCTTTTTTTTTTTTTAGGGGGGGGGGTGTCCAGATAATATAAGCATAAACTTTTTGTTAATTGGTTGCAATATATCTCTGTTTAAATCTACTACCGCTCATAATATACTCATCAAATATTGTAATGAAATATTTTTTATTTATTTATTAAAAGTAGAAATTTTTATATAATTTAAATCATACGGGTATAAAATACCTACTGTAAACATAATTTTAATTAAAAAATAAAAGCAAATAATAATATGTTTTAAAATAAATATATATATATAGACATTTAAGATCCAATGTATATTTATATATTAAAAAAAAAAAACATCATTGTAATTAATATCTAAATATACACAAATTTCCGCTGGAGAAACAAGTAACACAGGCACATGAAGGCACGGAGCCGCAAGATAAAAATATAAATTGTATGTTTACTGTAATAACTAATAGAATAATAATAATATAAAATTATTATAAATTATTATTACACATTTGTTACCATAATCGGTCACAATAATTTACTAATTATTACTATATATTTTGTTTGTTATATTCAATACCAGTGGTGCTATAAGAATAATAGTTTTATAAATAATTAAAAATATAATAGGATAATAAGTACATTATTTAAAACTAAATTTATTTTCTTTCCGAATTAGTTTATAACTTGAATGACTTGATATAATATTAAATTAGTTCATAACGAATCATATAATATTATTATTGTTTACCAAATTTCTTACAAAATTTATCTAAATTAAATATTTATTGAATTTTTTCTTTTTTTTTGGTTTGGGGGGTGTCCAGACACCGTAGAACCCCCCCCCCCTCGCGCCACATACGCCACTGAGTATACGAGTATAATATACTATCATTTTAGTTTCACAAATTCAAATATTTTGGTTTTCAAAAAGGCTGGAGGGGCATTTTATACTTTTATCTTCAATCTTACAAGTACGTAACAGATAACAGTGTAACATGAACGTATCTATTGATTCTTTGTATTGTCTTCTTAAAATGTTAAAACTAAGTACCTATATCATTTTAAATAAGCATATATAAGTATAATACAGTGTGATCACGACTTACGGTACCACTATTTAGCACTATTTAATATTTATTTCATTTGGATGACCTTCTATTGAAGTTAATATCTTAGATGTCCTAGGGAAACTTAAATACACATTTATTTATGATTTACAAATTTTTTACATTTTTGGTTTACGCATGCCTATACAAATTACATTTTTTTAAATAGAATTACACTCTTTGGCATTTATTTTTTTGTTCATAAAGTATATATATACATTCTTTGGCATCCCGACTTTAGCAATAACATCGAAAAAACCAAGTCATAATACCAGGGATGTACGTCAATTCACCGCGGCTAAATTCATCGCGAGTTAAATGATCGCGGTCAATTCACCGCATGTAAATTTATCGTGGTCGCAATTAATTGCACGTCAATTTATCGCAAAATTTCATCAAATATTTATTAAATAATTATTTATTTAAATAATCACAAAAGAATCAAAAAACTATTAATCACAATAAATATTCTATGTAGTTCACATACATTATTTACAAAATTTACAATAGTAATTGAAAATTATGAGCAACACATTAGAATACTTAAAGAGTGTGAATTGTATAAAATTGGTAAAATAATAATGGAGAACTAGATAATGTGCCTTCACAAAACTAATTGTCGCATTGTGCTATAAGCTTATAAGACACAATAAACATGTTGTTGAAAAAATTAAAATTTGTTTAGTATTAATATCACTATCATATTGCAAAAAAAAAACATTTCCATCTGTAATTTCGTCAAATTATAAAATTTAATTCGGTTGGGCCATTGAGCAACTGTAACTTTTGCTTACTTAGGTATACGTTGAATAGTAGGTAAATTTTAATCTATTTATAATAGGTAACTGCCCAGACGATTCAATAGGGATTTAATTATGTAAGTGCTGAACCTATTATCTATTACTGCCTACTGGCTATATTTGATAGATTATTAAGTGTTTTTTTACCTCAAAGTCTGATAAACTCGGAACGTGATTATGGTCAGTATTATTTAATATTTTTCTTTCGCTTAGGTGAAGTTGTTCACAACATTTATTTTTATAATATTGATAAAATTTCTACATGGATTTTGTATCATTTTCCTTTTCTTTTGAAAAATATAGCTATTGTAACAAAGTATACCTTTCTCTTTCTTAATTTTTAACATTTGCAAAGCTATAATAGAAAAATTTTATTAAAATACAAATAATAATAAATGAGCTTACTCGATAAATACATGACGGTTAAAAATTAAAATGACGATTTAACGATTGTCATAAGATTGAGATTTGAGACTAACATTGTTAGAGTTCAGAAATTATAAAGTACAATAACACGCGATGAATTGTCGCGCGATTAACTTATTAGTTATTACGCGATTAATTGACGTTGCGATAAAATGACCACAGTGAATTGACGCACGATGCATTTAGCTGCGATGAATTGACGTGACACTAATACGAATTACGAGATAATCTATTAAGTATTAGTCCAGTATTAGGTAATTAGTTAGTATCTAGTATCTACGCACATATTCTAGCAAGTTGTATATATGATGAACGCGAGTTTTATAATTATTTATAGTAATTTATGTTATTTGTGAACTAAATATAATAAAAGTTAAATTACATTTTAGTGTTATAGTTCTATTTCATTAGGTATGGACATAGAGTTAGGATTATAATGTCCTAAAAACATACTTTAATGCAATATAAAAAATGCAAAAATGACCTAAAACCTTTAGAAAATGACCAACAAATGTACTTGGATAAGTGAAAACAATTTGAATTTAAAATAATTATTATTAATTATTATTTATTAATTTTTTATAATACACAAAATAGGTAAAAATGTATTTCAAGAAGTAAATAAAAAAAAAAATATATATTCAAATTTGAATTGACTATTAATTATATTACTTTTTCAAAGCCAATAGACCGGAGTAGGTTAATCAGGATAACCTATATAAAACATAATATTAAAAAAGCTTAAAATAAAAAAAATGAGCTTAATTACACAAAATTAACGTAATATTTGTAAAAATTATAT